GATTTGTTTACAAACCATGAATTCAAAATTCATAAACCAATGATTTGTTGATGAACCATGAATTCCTAAATCCGTACACTAATTGTTTGCCTTACAAAAATCCATGAGCAAAATATTCTGTCCTCAAACCATGAATTTCAAAATATCTATGAATGAATTGTTCACAAACCATAGTTTAAAAAACAGGGTTTATTTGTTGATGTTAATCCATTCTTAAAATCTGCTTAATTACTAGCTCAGTCACATACTGAATAGTCACGTCTCTTTGACGCATTCCCCGTTTCCATTCTCAATTTTACATCAATATAAAATCTTTCTGCAACTGACAAATGATAACGGTAAAAAGCATAGTCTAGAGTGTGATTAACCTCTCAATAATACGTGCAATTGTTCAATTACTTTATATTTTTATACATAGTAAAATGTTATAGCTTTTTAAACCTACTCCAACAATCATTGATATGTGAAAACATAATTGAAAACAGTACTTAGCAAGTTTTGTGGTTGTGTTTTTCTTCAGACGTCATGCTTTTCACACTGTTTGCATTGTTTTCATATAAGTCTGACTGTTTTGATGTGTAGTGAGTGTGAAGAAAAGGAGATGTTTTTTATACATCAATACTTCCTTTTTAAGAATAATTTGCATCCAAAATTCAGGATTACTCAATTTGCTCATTTATCATCAATGTCAAATTCAGACAAAGCTTTTTTGAAAGCTAACACTTGTATGGATTTTCATTCTTATGTCCTTCATTGTGACAAAACTTTCTGTTATATTACTTAACTCTGGTTTGTTGTGGAATATTCAAATGATATACTATGTTAATGTTAGTAAGACATTTTACAATCCTTTCCTGTATAACATCATCTCTCAGTTTGTATGTACTGATTGCTATAAGTATAGCTGTTTTGTTTCTTTTATCAATAAATTTTAATTGTTATATTTACAACAGATGAAATTTGACTTCACTCCCTTAGCATCCCTTGTCAGATTTGATTCCGTTAATTTTTTTCTTGCACGCTGTGAAAAGATTCCTTTGGGGGAAATTATTTTCAGGAATATGAATCAATACAGAGCATATCCATTTCTTATGAAGTTTTTCTGTTAAAACATTAAAACATTGGTTCCTGAGTGACTAGCAAGACATTCATCAACATGTACGAATTATGATTTGATTTGCATTGATTGGTCAGTTTACTGTCTAGATCTGTAAATATTAAGTCTTATGTGTTGGTGCTATTTCATTTACATTTGTGATTGTTTAAAACTAATTAACAGGATTGATTGACGGTTGTTTTTTTCTGCAATATATTGGCTTTATATCGTGGCAGCCAGTTTTTATTGGTGGAGGAAGCTGGAGTCCCCAGAGAGAACCACCGAAAACTTACAATTCTATTCAATTAAGATTGGAGTCAAACGCATCTGAAATGAGCAGGATTTTGACTCACAACCACAACCTCAGTGTTAACAGGCTAGTGATACTGTAGATGGACTACTTAGACAGCTCAGTGACAATTGAATGATTGTGTCACCTAAAAACATCTAGCATTGAAGTACCTTGATACAAAATAATATCAACAAATTACAGACTGTTATGGGCAAAGAAATCTGACAAATACTGTTATAATTTGCCTGACAATCTCATTGTTGTATACAATACCAGTATAAGGTTATAATTTGCCTGACAATCTCATTGTTGTATACAATACAAGTATAAGGTTATAATTTGCCTGACAATCTCATTGTTGTATACACTACCAGTATAAGGTTATAATTTGCCTGACAATCTCCTTGTTGTATACAATAACAATATAAGGTTATAATTTGCCTGACAATCTCATTGTTGTATACAATACCAGTATAAGGTTATAATTTGCCTGACAATCTCATTGTTGTATACAATACCAGTATAAGGTTATAATTTGCCTGACAATCTCATTGTTGTATACAATACCAGTATAAGGGTTTAACCCATTTCTCTGACGTCATTCTATTGTTCTTACAGTGGATTATTTTTCAAGAATCCACTGACTACTTCGTTAACTTAAGATAACTTATTTTATGACTTTAAACTTTTAACTTACGATTTTTTATCCTCTCAAAAACGAGTGTCATATGAAGGGTTCGAACTCGCGCGTATTTTCTTCATAATCAGTAGAGTCTTCAGTCTATGCATGATACCACTATACCACGAGTGCTCACATAAATCATTAGTTAAATAACACTCTTAAAGCGCACAACTGTCAATACATGTCAATAAACTGTATTTCTATCTCAGAGATAATTCGCTTTTGTTATCTAACAAAATATATATACTATGTCTGGATTTGTTCATGTTCTTTTCAAATTTATTTATGTCACGTCAACATTGAACGGACTCTAATTTGAGTAAAGTGTGATATATAAGCTACGACCGTAAAACTACTTCTTTGACTGTTAAACCAGAAACAAAATCATCGCCTTTACATGAAAATGAAGTATATAATACCTCTAAGATTAAAACTGTTTTTATCGAGAAAAAAATTACAATGAAAAAATTTCATTCCGGATACAAGGTTCGAACTTTGCACTGTTAATATCACCGTTATGGCATTCGTTACCAACGACTAGACGATCACAGCTATGAACAGCTTGATGGTAAGTTTATGAAATCAAGATAATTATTCATTGTACATCCGTAGCAAGAGCAATTCTGATGGGGATTCAGAATGCGTACCTCAGATAAAACTAGTTTATTTACCGGTGAACGATATATGCCAAATGAAATTATAACGTTAAAATAATCGTAACTTAATGAAACGGAAACAGTTTAAACAGATTTGAATATAATTGTTCAATTTAAATCATAAGCACAATCGTAATTTTAATACTTTAGGAAAGCAACATGAATTTGAGCATTATGAAATGGCAGATTTATGGCATCTACCTTATCAATATTTTTTTGACTAAGAACGGCTTAACGGTGTTTAGTCTTCAATTAACCAAAACACGTTGCTAAATATTATATATATAAATTTTGAAGGTTCTAAATTTTGGTAATTAAAATTTTTTAACTTTTCAAAACAAGATAAATAAATTCTGTATATTAGTATATGTCTTTTTGAATAAATTAAATATACCAAAATCTATTCAATATAAATAATTTGTAATGATTAAACATTAAATGAAATATGTATACACAAAACTGAAATCTGGTGTTAAAAAGGGGAGCTAACACCCCATTTAAGTTATTTTAAACTTATGTTAACTTGTCGAATGTCTAATTATAGATGCGAACCGTGTGGATATAATCATTTCCAGCTATTATAGAATAAAAAAGACAAAATACTAAACTATTTTTATGAAATATCGTTGATTCATTGTCAAAACGTAAAACAGACAGTCGTTTTAATAGAAATGGGTTAAGCTAGAGAATTGATAAGAAGTAGTGGATTCGGAAACGATAATCAACTTGCGACTAAAGTCGCTCGTTGATTATCGTTTACGAATCCACTACTTCTTATCAATTCTCTACTACATAATTTGCCTGACAATCTCATTGTTGTATACAATATCAGTATAAGGTTATAATTTGCCTAACAATCTCATTGTTGTATACAATAACAGTATAAGGGTATAATTTGCCTGACAGTCTCATTGTTGTATACAATACCAGTATAAGGTTATAATTTGCCTGACAATCTCATTGTAATATATACAATACCAGTATAAGGTTATAATTTGCCTGACAATCTCATTGTTGTATACAATAACAGTATAAGGTTATAATTTGCCTGACAATCTCATTGTTGTATACAATACCAGTATAAGGTTATAATTTGCCTGACAATCTCATTGTTGTACACAATAACAGTATAAGGTTACTTTATCGATTTAAAAAGAAATGAAATGGAAAAATCTGAAAAATACTGTATCAATGAAGGAACTTAATGAGAGTATTTGTATTTTTTTATATATTATTTTACAATAGAAGAAATGAATATGTGGGATGCAAGTGAAAAACCAGCTGCTGATGAAAGAAAAACATAATGATAAAAGTAAAAAAAACGTTTATAAAGTGAAGTTATAGCAGTAATTCTGAACCACAGTATTTTCTTTTTCCTGGCAGACTTGGATTTGTCCCACCATTGTTTTGTGACATTCGACAATGATATTACACGATCTATATTAGGTAACAATATTTCATGGAATATTTGATCTTTCTCTTTATAATTCCCAATATGGCAGCGTTGACGATCAGTGAAAAGAAACAGATTTTGAGTGTAATTGTTTTGATGTGATATGACGTAGGTCTGCCCAACACTTTATGGTAGCTCATTATAACTTTTGGTTTAATGGCATATTCATTTCTATTTCCTGATTAAGATTTCCCACGTGTGATACTTTTTAGTTGTAAAAGCGTTTTCTCATTTAGATTTATCTTATTTGTGCCTTTGGTTGTGTCACAAAAGAATCCGCTAAAATACATAAATGTTACCAATAAAAAGACCAGCAAATTTTATCACATTCAGATTTCTACTGCATTTTTCCTTTTTTTTTTTTTTTTAATGATGATGAAGTTGAGAATATTTAGAATTTTTTTTCATATTTGGCAGATCTCTTCCATTAGTAGAATATTCCAAAAGATGGGTATTGTTAATATTTACAAATGAGTAGATCATAAAATATTGTACATTCTTTCACAAAATATTTTATGTTTACAGCTGTATATTATCCCATAGTATTTTATGGAAATTACAAGAAGTAAAAATAATGAATTGTTACCTTGAATTTTAAAATAGTATCATTTTCAACTTTCAATATTAAAACTGTAAGATAACTTGTTCTCTATAAATTTAAATATGGAAAATTGAAAATTGAAATCACAGTTCAGAATATGAGCCCACCAGACTTTACTCTTACAGTTATTCTTTATAATTCTGTAAAATTCTTTACCAATTTTCATATTCCTGCTTTGAAATTCTATATAGTGATTATCTATTTTTTTTTATATTTTCAGTTATTTTACCAAGATTGGCAGCTATGGCTTCCGCTAACAACCACATGACAGAGGAAAAGAAGAAAAGAGAGATAGCATTAGAATTATTTGAAGCCTACAGTTCTATGTCATGTTGTGGTATCCTTTATAAGATCAGCAGGTAGAATAAGGTTAAAGGCCATATGCAACATTTTTCAACATGTATTTATTTGTATATTTTCAAAAAGTACTCTATACAGTCTTTGAAATAAGATGGATTTTCAAATAAAAGAGTCATTTTGTAGTATTTACTGAAATCATAAAAACCAGCAATAGTTAACAACATTGATTATTCTCCTCTGAAATTATTTTTTTGAGAGATTTGATATATATCCTATGCTGAAAACAAATTAAAAAAAATTGTTTTATTTTGTGACAGCTGTCTGTTTAATAAATGACATATCATATTACTTAAAGTTAGATAAGTTAGAGGCTGTTACAAGTAATTTTCAATTTTTTGAAAATAATGATTTAGGAAGACCTCATTTATTTGAAAAAAGTGACACTTCTTAATCAAAAGAACATTTTTGAAATCAAGTCAAAATTTAAATATTATGGTTACAAGACGTATGGTCCTAGAACTATGAGCACAATTTTTAAAAAACTTTGACACAATTAATACTCTGAAATGTGACAGGACTGGTGACATTCCATTGTGATATTATTGTCCCCCCGCAACGTGTTGCCGGGGACATAGAAATACCGGGCATCCATCCATCCATCCGGTCTCGTTAGCACTCTCACATGTACAATTCTTGCCAAATTTTTATGTAATTTATATCATAGGTTTATATCAGTAATGTCTTGAATGAGTTTGAAAATCAGTCCCGATCAATTATATTTGAAAGAGTTATGCCCCTTGGAAACATTAATTATATGGAAAATTGCATCATTAGCGCTCTTGTTTGTTCAATTCTTGCCAGATTTTTATGAAATTTATATCATAGGTTAATATCAGCATTGTTTTGGACGAGTTTCAAAATCAGTCCTGGTCTATTTTTTTTGAAAGAGTTATGCCCCTTGGAAACATTAATTATATGGAAAATTGCATCATTAGCGCTCTTGTTTGTTCAATTCTTGCCAGATTTTTATGAAACTTATATCATAGGTTAATATCAGCATTGTCTTGGACGAATTCCAAAATCTTCCCGGTCTATTATTTTTGAAAGAGTTGTGCCCCATGGAAACATTAATTATATGGAAAATTGCATTGTTGGCACTCTCATGTGTTCAATTCTTGCCAGAATTTTCTGAAACTTAAATCATAGGTTTATATCAGCAATATCTTTGACGAGTTCGAAAATCTGTGCCGATCAAAATTTTTTAAAAGAGTTATGCCACTTTGAAACATTAATTATATGGAAAATTGCATCGTTAGCACTTTAATATGTACAATTCTTGCCAGATTTTTATGAAATTTATATTATAGGTTTATACATGTATCATCAATGTCTTTGATGAGTTTGAAAATTAGTGCTGATCAATTATTTTTAAAAGTGCTTTGTCCCTTAGAAACATTGATTATATGGAAAATTGCATTGTTAGCCCTCTCATAAGTTCAATTCTTGCCAGAATTTCATGAAACTTATATCATAGGTTTATATCAGCAATGTCTTTGACAATTTCTAAAATAAGTTCTGATCAAAAAATGTTAACGTTATGCCCCTTGGAAATATCAATTATAATGGAAATCACATTGCATTTGTTCTGGGGCCTTCATTTCTCTAAAGTATTAATAAAAAGTTGTATAGAAAAAAAAAAGTGCTTTTTTTAGTTATGCCCTTGTTCCTTGGATAGATAAAATATGTGCAACGCGGGGGACATTATATATCTGTTCTTTTATTAATTTTGCTATCCTAGTACAAGATTCATTTGGAATCAGACCACGGACCTTATTCATTCACTACAAAATGTCCTGTTTTGTAGTAGAAAAACTGTCCAAGAGACCCTTAAAAAGACTACATTCTTCGTGGAAAAGGTTAAAAGTGATAAAGATCATAGGGTGCTTAGACACAATTTTTTTGTCGAGCCAGAAGTCGCAGAAAGCGAGACATAGGGATAGTCATCCTCTGGCACCGTTAACTAACTTTCAGAAGGTAGAAGGCCTGGATGCTTGATAACTTGTATATAGATGCCTTATGTTATGAAGTTTCTGTTTGTCTTATGTCCATTGCCCTTGACCTCATTTTCATTTTTTTTTTTATTTTTGATTTTTATTCCACCGGAAAGGAACCAGTTATCAATATCCTGTAGAAAATTTTGTACATTATTGCAATTCCAAAATAGGTGTTCTATAGACTCCTTTTCTGATTTACAAAATGTACATAAAGGATCATCAGTCAGTTTTATTTTAACTAAATACTGATTTGTTGCAATAATGCAATGGTTAATCCTATATTGCAACCACTGTAATTTACTATTTTTAACCTCATTTTCATGGTTCAGTGACTATTTGAAAAAAAAAGTTCAAATTTTTTGTAACGTTAATGTCTCTCTTATTATGAGTAATAGGATAACAATATTTGGTATGTGCATTCCTTGCAAGGTCCTCAGCCTGTCAGACAATTTTCACTTGACCTCAACCTCATTTCATGGATCAGTGAACAAGGTTAAGTTTTCGTGGTCTAGTCTATATCTCAGATACTATAAGCCATAGGTCTTTTATATAAGGTGTATGGAATGAGTGTAAAGTGTACTTGTCCAACTGGCAGGTTTCATCTGACCTTGACCTCAGTTTCATGGTTCAGTGGTTAAAGTTTAAGTTTTTGTGTTTTGGTCTGTTTTTCTAATACTGCATGCAATAGGTGAACTATATTTGGTCTGGGAACAGTATATCTAACGGGAAATGAATCTGATACGCTTTTCAGTATAAAATTGATAAAATCTCGGACTCCCCGAGACTTCCCAAGATTTCAGATTTTGGTAGCGTCTGACTGAAAAACTATCAGAACTGATCAACAAATAAACCACATAACTCTAATTGTAAATAAATACAAGTTTTATCATTTAGTAGATATATTTTGTCATATAAAATTACCAAAATAAGTTTGATTTATTTGATGTGAAGTGTTTTATAATAGTTTGGGAATTTGTAAATAATCGCGGTAATGGCCGCCATTTTTTTATTACCTGGTTTGCATTCTGCACAATTCTGTGATGAAATGATTGCGATTTTAACAAATTTGAAGTGACAGAATACAAGTTTGATACACTAGCATCACTATAAAACTACTTTGAATGACATTTTATTGATAATATCAGAAATTATTAGGATAATAGCGAGTCCGTTTTTAACACATGTCCGTTTCTGTATCGTATCTTTATTAACTATGGCACGACGATAAAATCGACTACAATCAGGTAGTGTCAAGTCCCGTCAATATATATGTTCCTGATTTGGTGTATGGAAATATTTAACAATGTATATGTCTGTCTGATAGTTTCATTTGACCTTAACCTCATGTTCCACTTCATTGCTCAAAGTTAAGTTTTTGTGTTTTGGTCTGTTTTTCTTAGACTATAAGAAAAAGGTCAACCATATTTGGTGTATGAAATTATTGTAAGGTGTATATGTCTGTCCGGCAGGTATCATCTGACCTCATTACATGGTTCAATTTGGTCAGTGTTAAGTTTGTTTCTTAGATAACGTTATATGCAATCTGTCAACTATATTTGATGCATGGAATAATTGTAAGGTGTACATGTACTTCTGGCTTGGTTTATCTGACCTTGACCTCATTTTCTTGGATCATGTTAAGTTAATGGGATACTTGTATTAAAATTTTATATTTAGGACTATCAACATAAAATCAATGGTCAGTAAAGCAGGCAAGACATTTCAGCATGTGCACTCTTGTTTAACTTGTTTTAACTAAAGAATTTTTAGCACAGCACTGAATAGGAACACATTTAAAACGCGTCTTATGTTAGCTCTCTTATTAGCTATTTCCATTCTAGATTTGAGTTTACATTTTAACTTATGTTAAAAAGGGCATCAGGGAATAAAAAATGATCAGTAATTTCTTGATTTTAGATTTTAGAAAAAAGATCAAATAATATGCATTAGTTTTTCAGTTTTCTGTACTTAGAAATTGATTTATTTGATTATATATGATAATGTCCTTAACCTGTACAAAGTAATGAATGACCAGTTGGTACGAGAGACGATGTTACCAGGGTTACGTTGTTTACAACACGACATGGTACAGATAGCTCCAGAACATGAGGAAGTCATCCAATCAATGATCAGAGATTATGAGACCAAAATGGAACTCTCCAGATCTGACAGGTAATATAGTGGCATGTTCATACCCTCAGCATACCCTCATCGTTGAATCCCACAAGGAAAAAATTAGACATCTCAAATAATATGAAAATTTCTATTAGTTTGCAATACCCTCTGACAAAGGAAAACTGTGCGCTATCATTGATATTCATGAACTGTTTTGAGTTTAAATAATCTCCACATCCGCAGAGCACTTATTTTGTAAGTGGATAAACTCTGTAAAATTGAAGGTTTATTTGAAACCTGGATAGTAATAAGATCTGCTCTTTATAAATGCCAAAACCTAATCCTAGTCAGTGTGGATTGAACTGAAGTTCATACAAAAATAGTATCACCTTGACCTTCATTTAAGGCATAAAAGAGGGGTGAGGGTCCAAAAGTAAGACTTTTTTGTCAGTAAAAGTTTCTCAGATGATAATGATGTCTTGTATTGCTTAATTTACCCTATTTCAAAAAGATCAGGGGAAATTATTTAATGTAATATTTCAATGCTGAAATAGTGTAAATCCATAATACATGGATATACTGTTCTCACTGAAAGTAAAGCAAACTTTCCATGAAAGCTAACTTTCCAACTTTAAACATTTTAATCACAACGTGTATAAAAGCCTTTTTATTCTCCCAAGATCATGCTGGCCAGTAGAGGGAAACACTCTTAGTATCAAACCAAGACTTAAAGACTGGTATTCTGTTTCTATAGCAGCATTTAGGTATATGAGCACATACTGATGGTTAAGAGTAGGTTTGATTTGTACTGGACTGGTGACATTTCCTCCTGCTGAATACATGTGTGATCTAGCATATTAAAATTAGCTGTAGTTTTTAGTTATAAAAATAAGAAGATGTGGCATGAAAGCCAATGAGACAACTCTCCAGCAGAGACCAAATCACATAGAAGTTTACAACTATAGGTCACTGTATGGCCTTCAACAATGAGCAAAACCCATACCACACTTTATTTCAAGTAGGGTTTGTGTCGCTAACATATTGATGGTCCTAAAGGATTGCCTACTGTTTGCAGTGTTGTTGAGTTACTGTTACATTCACAAGGACAGCCTCATGATAGTAGTAGTCTCATGTGAGGACTTGTCACAGTAAGAGTAAAAGGCTGTTTTTGAGGGACCAAATTAAAAGAAAGACTATTATACAAAAGTTTTTGAAAAGAGCAGTTTTTCATTTATGCATTTACCAATATTGAATTATCTGTTAAGAAATGGTCTTTTGCTATGATCACTTTTTAACCACCAAAATTGTCTATTTCAGAAGTTCAAGTTTTGGACAATCTACCACTGGATCTGATGATGTGAAATCTCGTATGATGAGCCGATTAAAGGACACTGCAAACTTATCAAATATATTTACAAGGAAAAAGTAAAAAACCAAAATACCCAAGTCCCAATATTAATCTATGAGGCACACTTGGAAGCACTTTAAATGGAATGTAGATCTCCCAACTGGAAATTTAAACAGTCTGGAATTGTTAGGTGTCTTTACGACAGCAGTTGTGTGGCAGGGGCATTTGTTATCATTGAATGTCTTTCAGAAGAGTAGAATGAGCAATATACAAACAGACAATATTTATTTATATGCTTTGTTAAAGATATGCTTTTGATATAAAATGTGATAAATATTACAAGAGAAGGGAGGTAATCCAAGCAGATTGATTATTTTTGTTTTGATAGTATTTATTTTTTTGGATAGTAATTATAAATTGTTGTTCACAATTTTTTTTATGACAGTGATACAGATATTGATGTTTAATCATGACCAAAATAGGCATTTAAGGCGTTTAGTGATGCAAATTGATTCTGGTTTTTTTTCTCCATTCAGTAAGCCTTGATAAAACCTTTTAAAGTGAGCATTCTTGTTGGGGCCAGATAAACCAAATTAAGAACAAGTATGATATACATTTTATTTTTCATTTTTGGTTCTAAAGTTATAATCCTTGATAATACAGAAAGTAATAACATTTAGTGGAGCTATAAAACTTTATTATTTTCTAAAGGTATGAGAAAAATTGAAAAATTAAACATAGGTTACTGTGCTTGTTTTCAAGTATAAGACTAAAAAATACAACTATGCAATGTCATTTTAATGATTTAGATTGAAATTAAATATTTTGATTAATGTAAGAAGGGATTAGCCTTTGTTTACAAGTGCTTCATTTCTTTTCCTCTTATGCATACATTATGCCCTTACAACAAGATACATACATTTTGCTTATAATATTGTTTATTATTTCTAATTCATTCCATTGTTTACTGAACCAAGCATGTAGTTAATGGCTTTTTTAATTTATACTAGATTTATACATATCTGTTGACTCTACAACTAATAAACTGTGATCAAATTGATTTGTTATTATTATGTTTAATTGAAGACTTTAGGCTTATTATATCAGTTATTACTAATGGTTATACAGGTAGACTAGTCTGTGCTTAATGGCACTTCCATAGGTCAGCGACTTTAATACATGTATAAAAGTAAGAAGATGCGGTATAATTGCCAATGAGACATCTCCAGCAACTATTGGTCACTGTACGGCCTTGAACAATGAGCAAAACTCATACTGCATAGCAAGCTATAATGGTCATAACATGACTGAATGGAAAACAATTCAAAAGAGAAAACCAACAGCCTGATTTATGTACAAAACAGATACGATATATACTGGAATTTCATTATTAATCGTTGGATAACATTTTCATGGATTTCCTAAGTAAAGGTAAACCATGAATTAAAATGTCAACCGAAGTACACATTTTCTATAGGCTTGCATACAGACTTTGGCAGAACCAGGAAATCAAATATCCACGAAGACAATATTTCCTCGATCCAAGAAAATAAATGAATTCACATTACCCTAGACAGTGGTGTCACAGCACAACAATTTTTTCTCTGATTTCATATTTCAGGATTTACCTTTCAGATTTTATCTAATTAGATAACTTAAGTAATCTGATATGAAGCTTGATAACAACCTATTTTTATGCCCCCGCCATAGCGGAAGGGGCATTAAATTTTTAGTTTCCGTTCTCTATTTCTTAAGTTTGCCTCAACCAAATGTTATGAAACTTATACACAATGCTTATTACCACAAAACACAGATCAAGTTTGAATTTTGGTGGCGTCACTTTTAACCGTTCTAGAGTTATGCCCCTTTATAAATGGAAAAATTGCAAAATTTTTAGTTTCCGTTCTCTAACTTAAGTTTGCCTCAACCAAATGTTATGAAACTTATACACAATGCTTATTACCACAAAACACAGATCAAGTTTGAATTTTGGTGGTGTCACTTTAACTGTTCTAGAGTTATGCCCTTTTATACCGGTAAATGGAAAAATTGCAAACTTTTTAGTTTCCGTTCTCTATTACTTAAGTTTGCCTCAACCAAATGTTATGAAACTTATACACAATGCTTATTACCACAAAACACAGATCAAGTTTGAATTTTGGTGGCTTCACTTTAACTGTTCTAGAGTTATGCCCCTTTATAAATGGAAAAATTGCAAAATTTTTATTTTCTTCTAAATATCAAGTTATTTTTAAAATTGGAGTTATCTTCCTTTGTCCATGATTATAGTTGAATTAACTACAATCAATGCTTTATACAATGCAATGTTTAATTTTGACTTCCACTGATAAAACACAGATCAAGTTGAATTTGGGTAGTGTCACTTTAATTATTCTTTATCTTTGCGCAGAATCTGTCATTTCCCATTGAGTGAACTGAGAAATGAAGTCGTTCAATTTTTATTTAAGGCAAGATCCAGGTTGTATTAAGAGAAGAGCACTTGAAAAGTCCTAAACTAAGTCTATACTGCAACTGTGCTATTGGTATGACACCTCGTTTGTGATGTGGATAATGCATTTCCCTAGAGTTTTATCTATGACATCAATAAAGAATTCAGGTTCAAAGAATTTTAAGTCATCTGCTTCAAATTTAAAATCGATTAATGTTACCCGAAATATTTTATTTGGCACAGTTGTAAGAGTTGCAGTGTAAAGAAAATAACCATACATTGTCTCCAAACATAATTTTTATTTGTACTCAGCTCTAAACAGGATACAAATGCTGGACGCTGCCTCTCATTCTATCTGTTTCTAAGCATTGTACAAATAATTTTTATATTTGGAGACAATGTATAGTAATTCTATATATATGTTTTAATAATGGATCATTTGAAGTCAACAAGGAGATGTGATATGATTACCTGTATCTCATGATTATACCCCACTGAACACAATTCTGTAGGGTATAATGTTTTTGACCCATCCATCTGTCTGTCAGTCCATCTGTCAGTCCTGTTCTTGTCATCCCAACTCCTCTGACACAACACAACAGAATTTCATGAAACTTTGTAGATAATAATAATAACATGTAGATGTGCATATTGACAGGTATATATGATTCAATTTTTTTTCTAAGAATTAAGCCACTTTTGAATTTAGAATTTTTGCCTAAATACACTACTATTAAAACATCGCAACTCCTCTGAAACCACACAACAGAACTTTATAAAACTTTGTAGACAATAAGGACATAATATTTCGATGTGCATATCCACAAGAAATTTTTATCAGTTGACTTTTGACGAAGTTGTCTTTGAACTTGAAATGTTATGTTTGTAACTGAACATGTATATCTCACAGGCTTTATTTGACATTGACCACAATTTCAGAGTTCATTGCTCCTTAAAATGATTTAGATATTGCTGAAGGCAAGATATCGAAGTGTAATCACACTTGTTTTACAATACCCGTACCTTGAAATTTTTATTTTGACGTTTATTATTCTTGTGTATCAGATTAACTTATTTTTTTAAATAACATGTCAGAAATTGCAGTAACACCCAAATGTCGAGAACAAGACTAAGGCTTACTGAGAAAATCAAGATTACTTCAAACAATATCGAGGAATTATCATCACAAGACAAAGAACTAGAGCTGGTTCATAAGGAATTATCATCACAAGACAAAGAACTAGAGCTGGTTCATAAGGAATTATCATCACAAGACAAAGAACTAGAGCTGGTTCATAAAACAAACTGACCTTTACCAGAATCCGATTTATAAGTACTTCTTAACAGTTTGTAGCAAATTGCTGTAAGATTTGCTAAAACCAAAATGGTTTATCAGTGAATGTACCACAGATTATTAAGTTTAAAAAATGGAGAAGACAGCCTATAAATATTAATATGTCACAAAGATAATAAGACAGCATAGCAACACTACATATTAATGTTTGTTCTGTCTACCATGGAACCTAAGAGACCAAGTCAAAACATCCTTGTGATTGGACCACTCTTCTATCCTGCTCCTCACATATTTCCTTTATTTTGGAATGCACAATCTATGTGCATAGTGTGGTAGCTGTCTCATTCTGTTAACCTCTATAGTTAAGTGACATTTTTTTTGTAGCAACCTTCAATAGCTTATTAGTTTTCACATATGTGATACAAGATGTCACATAAAGTGGACACACTGAATTGTGCTAACTACTTAACAAGAGTGCACACGCTGAAATGTCTCACCTGTTTTACTTACCGGTATTGAATTTATGTTGGAAGTCTGTAATATGAAGGTTTTACTATAAGTATCACATAAACTTCACATTGACCAATGAACCATGAAAATGAGGTTAAGGTCATATGAACCCTGCCAGACAGACAAGTACACCTTAAAATCATTCCATACACCAAATATAGTTGACTTATTGCTAATAGTATCTGATAAACTGACAAAATCACAAAATTTATAATTGACAAGTACACCTAACAAGTATTCCATACTCTAAATATAATTGAGCTATTTGTTAAAGTATCTGAGAAATAAACTAAACCACAAAAACTAAACATTGTTCAATGAACTATGAAATTGAGGTCAAGTGAAATTGGTCAGTCGGACATGTAACCCTAACAATCATTCCATACACCAAATGTAATTGACCTATTGCTTATAGTATTTAAGAAATAGATCAAACCACAAAAACTAAACATTGTTCAATAAACCATATACTTGAGGTCAAGGTAATGAAATCGGTCAGTCAGACATGTACCCCTTACAATCATTCCATACACCAAAATAGTTGACCTATTGCTTATAGTGTCTAAGAAATAGATCAAACCACAAAAACTAAACATTGTTCAATGAAATTGAGGTCAAGGTCAAATGAAATCGGTCAATCAGACATGTACCCATTACAACCATTCCATACACCAAAATAGTTGACCTATTGCTTATAGTATCTGAGAAATAGACCAAACCAAAAAACTTAACATTGTTCAATGAACCATGAAATTGAGGTCAAGGTCCAATGAAATCTGTCAGTCGCACATGTACCCCTTACAATCATTTCCATACACCAAATATAGTTGACCTATTGCTTATAGTATTTAAGAAATAGACCAAACCAAAAACACTTAACATTGTTCAATGAACCATGAAACTGAGGTCAAGGTCAGATAAAATCAATCAATCGGACATGCACCCCTTACAATCATTCTTTACACCAAATATAGCTGACCTATTGCTTATAATATCTGAGAAATAGACCAAACTACAAAAACTAAACATTATTCAATGAACCATGAAATTGAGGTCAAGGTCATATGAAATCGGTCAGTCGGACATGTACCCCTTACAACCATTCCATACACCAAATATAGTTGACCTATTACTTACAGAATATGAGATACAGACTTGACTACATAACTTTAATCTTGGTCACTGATCTATTGAATAAGGTTAAGGTCAGGTGAACCCTACCTGATGGACATGTTGACGTTGCAAGGAACCCATATACCAAACATAGTTATCGGTAATTTTTTTTCAAGCAGTCACTGAACCATGAAAAAGAGGTCAAGGACAATGGATATATGACAGACAAAAACTTTGTAACATAAGGCATCTGCATACTAGGTATGAAGCATCCAAGTTTTCTTATTGTTGAAATATAACGCTTTAAATAAATAGTTTACACCGACGCTGCCAGCGGATTGTAATACCTACCTATGTCTCGCATGCATACTTTGACTTTCATTGCAAATGAGAAAAAAAATGGATTTCAACTGAATAATATATTGACATTCTTAGAGATAATGTTCAACTGCAGGTATCAAAAAACTTAATATTCATCTATGAACCATAATGTGGTCAAGGGCAGGTGACCTTTGTTAGATGACATTTACAACGACGATTGTATAGACCAGATACTGTTAATGCATTACTCAAAGCTACTATGGTAAAACTATACTAAGCATGAAATATTAATGTTGATCATTGAACCATGAAAACAAGGTCAAGTGACCACAGCCAGCTGGACAGTACTATGATTATATACACCAACTATAGT